GTGGGAGCTTAGACCATGGACGAGCAACCTGCTTTAAATTGAATTCAAGGCCAAGTCGAGCCTACTTCGTGGGCTTTGCAAGTTGGGCTCTATGGACCTACTATTTAAATTCTGTATATATTTAGGGGCAATTTACAAAAATACCCTTAAAATTGAGGGTCTTTTGAAAAATTATTTGAAGTTTTTTGAAAGTAAAAAATACTTTGTAAAATAAAAAAACTGGCACAATGTTACTTTTTTCTATAAAAACTGTCATTTTTTTAAAAAAAAGTGACACAATGTCACTTTTAAAAGTTTAGTGTCACTTTTATATTAAAAAATGATATACAATCTCATTTTTATTAAAAAATGATGTTTGTCACTATAAAAAAACAATAGAAATTTCAAGAAAATGACAAACACTTAAAAAAGTGACAAATTCAAAAATAAAAGAGACAATACTTAAAAAAGTGACAAATTAAAAAAAGTGACAGAAATTTAAAAAAGTGACAAATTTAAAAAGGAGACACAATGTCACCTTTAAAAGTTTAATGTCACTTTTATATTAAAATATGAAACACAATCTCATTTTTATTAAAAAAATAATGTTTGTCGCTAAAGAAAGTGATAGAAATTTCAAGAAGGCGATTGAAAAAAAGTGACGAACACTAAAAAAAAAGTAAAAAATTCCAAAAAAACTGACAGAAATCTAAAAAAAGTAACAAAAATATAAAAAGTAACACAAGTGTGATAAACAAAACAAAAAAAGTTATACATCTCTCTCCACATCCACCATTTTGAAAAACCAAGATTTGTTAGTTGCTCTTTCGATACATATCTCTCCACCTCACATTGCATAGCTCTTCCAACAATATTTCCATCCTTATTGCCCTAATACCTTGAGACTACTCACAAGTAGCACTTGAATTTCTACACTCTCTGCTGCCTTTATTGATGAAGAAGGGCTTGAAGCAGGAGCCATGACAACTTGCCATATCTCCTTACCTTCCACTCTATATTGCCAAACAACAAAACCAGCAAGCTAACCTTAAATACCAAACTGTCCAATTGAAAAGAATAAGTTTTCGATTAAGAGCATATAAATCACATATTTAAACTATTTGTGCTAAGATTTCTATCTCCAAAAATATCCAATTGAAAGAATAAGTTTTCGATCAAATACTAGCAGGTGATTTTTTGGACCTTAAACACCAAAAGTGCAAGCCTTTAACAGAGTTACATTCAGCATAACAAAAGCATGGAGTTTGGATATATTGTGGCAATTAAAGAGATTAACCAACCAATTAGCTAAGAATAAACAACAAACAAGAGAATTATCGAACATATGCAAATTACATAATACAACAATACCCAATTCTTGTTCCATGTAAACTTGGGGTTAGTTACATGAATTCCTTGCTGCCATCACTCATTTAATCCAAAACTACCTCTTATGAAATGTCCAATGAAATCAATCTGTCTCATTTGTACCAAAATCTGGTTCCTTAATGACTGAAAGTGGAATATATAGTCAAATTCCTTATAATGTTTTGAAAAAATTCTTTTCTTCTTCTTCGAAGATACTTCTTCATCAATAATTATTTTTATCTTCAACCCATTGTCTCCAGCTATTGTAGAATTCAAAGTTAAAGTTTTTGATTTTGGAGTATGAATCAAGTGCGGGTTTTTGAGACTAGCGATTTGGGGTTTTTAGGACTCGATGTTTAAGAGAACCTTGAAGAGGAGACGGAGGAAGACGATGGAGCTGCAGGAATGGCAGAGATGAAGGTTCTAAAATGAGAGATGTAGGAGAGAGAGATGAGGTTCTGTAATGAGCAACGTGGAAAAGGGTTGAGGTTTGGGGATTTTAGTAAAGACGTAAATAATATGGTTTATACAAAGTTTAATTTTTATTTAGGGCATTAATCTAATCTTTTAAATCTTCAGAGTATTGGGCTAATTTTCCCTATATTTAGTCCCTATTTGATGTAGATTAAAATCAATTTTTCAATATATTTTTATAAAATTTGATCAATATATTATTAAAAAGTTGTGAATACCATAAAAATAAGTGATTAAAATTAATTATTAACTTTAATTTAAAGTTAAAATCTATTTTATAGGTTAAAATCTAGAGCCTTGCTTTTTAGCTAGGCTTAAAGCCAGGCCAAAAGGGGGCCAACAGGCTTTTCCTAAAATCTATACCAAAATGGAAACCAATGGACAAGCTCGATTCGCCTAGTAGGCCTAGACCTAGCCCAAAAAGTTCAGTAAACAAGCATAACCACTGTGAGTACTAGACGCGCCACCAGACAAGGTGGAATTATCCAGAAGATAAGACCTACTGGCCCTCCATATTACAACTTGGCTAAGTCAGCTTTTTTTTAATAGCTGTACTACCAAATCCAAACTAAATACAATTGTCAGAATTATGAAATCCCAACCCTATCCCTCCCCAAACCCACGCCGTCCCAACACCACCACAAAGTACAAGAGAAATTAAAAAAATTAGGATCCGGCTATCGGTACAGAGTTGGCTGACAGAACGATGTGGAAATAAAATAACCCAATCAATGGAAACCGGCCCAATATGTATACCCATTTCAAATACATTTTTATCCATTTTCCCCCAAATCATTGAAACCCTACACACCTCGATCCATTGTCTCCCTCCCTGCCCCTGACTTCATCCATCTTCTCCAACTCTATTGAAGAACTCAACAATCCCGACAGAAGAAGCTTGGTCTAGTTTGCTTGTTTTCCAATCATCGGCCGTTTGCCCGATATTCTTCCGTTCAAGTCCGCGACCAACGTCTTTTCTGTCGGAATCTACAGCAAACTTTTGGTACGTATGATGTTTGATTTACATGGGGGTATGAATGTTGTTTAGCGTTTGTGTATTTGCGTTTAGCGAAATTGAATTCAAATTTGATGTTTACCAATAATGTTATACCCTATTCCTTCTTTTTCGATTTCGTTTCTTCATTCTTTCTTGTATTTTCCCATTTTAAAAACTAGGGGTTGACTTTTTTACTTGAACCATCAGGACTAACCTAGAATTGGACCAAATGGTATGTTTCTGGAGAAAAAAAAACAAAAATCAAAGTTTCTGCTTCTACAATTATGTTTACCTTTCAAAATTCTTCCAAGTACTCATTTTGCTCGAGAAATAAGTAATATTTCATGTTTGAGCTCTTAATTATCACTTCCAAGCAGCAAAATAGTTTCAAAAGAGGGGAAAAACTGCCTATCACACAGAACTCAAAAAGCACAATGACACGACCCATCCCGAATCACCCTAGTGGACTCGAAACGTGACGTGCGTCGATGATAGATGCTGACTAGATGTCAAATCTATCACCAAGCCTGACTATGAGTTATTTAAAATAAAATGCAACAAAATCAAATGCTTATATAAAATATAATGCGATGGGCCCAAAATATTTACTTCGTGCTTCATCAATATGAGTTATATAATATTCAACATGTCGTGTGGCTCTCATTCCAAAATCATTAGGCTCTTCCAGCTAAAAATAATCAATTGCTACCTGTAGGAAAAATCGTGGGAAAATATATGAGCTAATAGCTCAATGAGTGGAGAAATTCGAAAATAATTATATTTTTTCAATTTTACATTTCTATCGAAAATCAAGTTCATATCATTTAATAATTCACAAACTAACATCATGTAATTATAACAAAAAATGAAATATTCACATAAGGTCGTAAAAGATCATCTCAAAATCATGATATAACGTCAGTTGATAATCATGTTATAATCTCATCACATCAAACGTGCTGAAAAATCCACCTAAAATGTACCCTCTGACTGAAATATATAATCCGCCTCTCGGGCTAAGAACTTTCGCCACGGGCCTTTGGGCCCCCTTCGTGAACGAAAGTCGATCTCAAAGACCTCTCATAATCAATTCTAGAACACGGCTAAGGCCCCTCTGTGAACTATATGTATACGATCGAGACCAATGTCAGGTCAAGACCCTCCATGTATGATAGAACACGGCCAAGGCCCCTCCGTGAACTAGAAGAAGTACATAATCACAGGTACTTTTCTGGTCGATCTCAATATCACGTCCCACTTACCAAACAAATCTCAATATCACATGTCTCATATACCAAGTCACAAACGTACAATAAATAATCCTTGAAATTCCACATGTATCATAATAAAAGATATTTTCATAATAACCATGTGATTCGAATACATAATTGCATATAATTGCACATATTTTAACAATATACTTAATTTATAATTACTTTAAAAATATTTATATTTTTCCACTCACAGTACTATGTTCGAAAAATCAACCCGGATGGTAAGCTGTTCTGATGTCAGTATCGTCACCTGAAATACGATATAATTTTTAAATAAACAATTAATTATTTTAAATAATTTCAATAATTAAATAGGCGATACCCAAACTTAATCATTTCACGTTTGGGCGATTTCTACAGTCTCTTTAATAACTAAAACTAATTTTTCTTTCATTTTACTCAATTTCATAGTTTATTACACTTAACCCCTTCAATAAAATTGAATTTAATCTAACAATCTAACAACTATAAAATCAAACACAACTTGACAATAAGTAACTTTTTACTTACCTTTCAAAATTGAGAAATTCAAGCCTAATAGAGTAGACCACTTATTTCTAATAACTTGACAAAAATTTCCTATTTTTTCTTCTTTCTTCTTCCTCTTTTTTTTTTTTCTTCTTTTCTTTCTCTTTTTCTTCCTTTCTCTCGGATTCTTCCCTGTAGTCTCCAATTCTTCTATACATATGGATGCAAATGAAGAGTCAAGGAAAAGGGATTAAAATGTGGACATTGGGACTCCACTAACTTATTTTTGCAAAGGAAATCCTTATTTTCAATTTAATATAATATCTAGTCCTTTACTTCCAATAATATATAATTAGATCCCTAAAATTAAGTTTTATCCATTTTAAACCTTTAACTATTTTTCATAATAAATTAAACCCCCCATAAAATAATTTATTTCATTTAAATTCGTATTTGACATTAACTTTGACCAATTGAATTTTAGACTTTGACTAAATAATTTTCTTGACTTTGACTATGAGTGAATGGGTTATAACACACAAGTAGGCTATATAAACAAACTGCTCAAAGCCCATCTTATTATTTATCTAAATTTGATACACTGTAGATATGAAAGTCTTCAAAATTGTATTTATTTTTTATTTATTTTTTGGTTTTGTTCATTTGTTCATTGAATTGAGGCTATGATGTATATTTTAATATGAAATTTGTGAGATTGAACTGAGGCTTTGTTCATTGAACTAAGACTATGATGTAAATTTGTAATATAAAATTTGTGAGATTGAATCGAGGCTATGATGCTCATTGTTATGTAATTGTTTTTTTGTTTTGTTCATTCTCTCTTCGAGGTTAAGGGGCAGCTTGTAATAGGCGGGAGAAATCATGGAGTATGTCATAGTTGTAAGTGTAGCAGTCACCTCTTCGTTGATTTCCCAAATAAACGATCATGCCCATCATGCAAACATTCATTTGTAAAATGTTTTGAGGTGGAGAAGGATACGGAGCACAAACGTAAATGGTTCAATTGTTGCAGCGCGAACTCTGGCTATTGGAAGTGGTTTAAAGTAGGAGAAACAAGTGGTGAATCAAAGAATGTTTGCAGTACATCTACTAAGCCTTTGGCGAACAAATTAGATGAAGATATATTTGGTGTGTTCCAAACCATGTGTCACCTAAGCCACGAGAAAGATGTGGATATTTCCGTGAACTACGTAAAGGAAATGCTGTTGCGGAGGGGAATAAGAAGTGAAAAGTGTGGGCCTACTTTTGTTGTTGTTGATGTGTTTGCCTAACATTTCGCATATTTGGAGTCTGTAATTGCATGCCTATCATTTTGTTATTTAGTTTATGTGGTCAATGGAATTGGGTGTCTATCATTTGGTTATTTAGCTTTTATGGTGAATGTAATGTCATGCCTATCACTTGGTTACTTAGCCTATCGTTTTGTTGATGAAACTGTGTTGAGAAAAACTAAGTACTCACATGTGATGTTAAGAAACAGACAATTTCCATAAAAGATTACTCCCCTGTGATGTGTGTGCAAACAAAAAATAGGTAGGAACTCCCCTGCTTTTGTGTTCAAAAATCATGTATTAATCAACAAGAAAACTATGAATTCAATTCCACAACTAGGCAACTAAAAATAGACAGCAATCTTATAATTCAATTCCCAAAATAGGCAGCATTCGTATAATTCAACGATGTACCAAAAACTATAAATTAATTCCAAAAATTAACTTACATCAATAGAGAGAAAGTTGTTACAAAACTCTCGGACACCATCATCGATCAATCACTGAACTAAAAAGTAGCTAGATTCAATAGCAACTAAAAATTCTCCAAATTCATACTACAAAGTTTAGACAACCGAGTCAAAAAATTGCAATGCACTAAGTGTTCAACAACCAATATATTAAAGAAAAATAATGGATCAATTTCAAGTATTTGTGCCTTCTCAGTCGAATCCATGAGGAAAGCCGTAGGGCATGGCTCAAAATCCTGTGATGTATGAACATTATTAGTCAAACACCAAAGATGCAATTCACAAGGGAAACATGCTTTAAAGAATGCATTACCTTGACCATTGAGCATGACTTGTCGATAGTTCCTGGGATGAAGTTGGAGGACTATAATTGCTGTGCAAACGCAATGCTTTGTTTGTCAACCTATATGAAATAACAACCTTCAGTACACTACATATGTATTGAGAGAAATTAATAATATGAATATGCTTACCATTAATAGTTTCGAAAATGAAAAGGGCATGTGCGGAGGATATGGTGCTTGTTAAGGTGGTTGAATGATACTTGCACCGTTCCCCATATTACTTGTACGTGACTTCGTTCTCTTTCCTTTATTTGTAGTTGAACTTCTCTACATGATATCGTAAGTTAATAATTATGTGTGCTCAAAATTTAACATTATTGATAACAAAACTTCTCAACACACATTTGCCGTAGTTTCTAATGGGCTCTTTTTTTTTTAAGTTTCCTAGGCGCGCCTTTTCTCTTTATGAATTTTGGATCCCTCAAAACAGCGCTACAGTATCCTATGATGCTCCGCGTTGATGATCTATCTGGGTTATGTGTGGGGGAATGACATTGCTCCCACAACTTGATTTTGATGTCATAACCTGATTACACTGCAGTTCAATCCACTCCAAAAGAGATGTAGATCGGACGACATCATCTGCAAATAGGTTTGCCAACCTTGCAAAAGACTGACACAATTTGTCATATATCAACTGTCTAAGTATACTAACCAGTCCATCGTAATTCACCGCAACCCAGGTGTGGGCCCTTTGAATATCTCTCTACCACCTTTGTAAGAGATATTTGTCAGGCAATGCTTTTACATCATTCTGGGCCAACACTATGATAGCATGCCTACATAGTATGAACTCTACTAGATGGCAACTGCAAATATTTTCACATGTTTCTTGTCGAAATGAGACAAAGAATGTTTTTTCTTTGAATGTTCATCGTGTATGACATCCTCACATACCTCGTACGTTATCCCAAAACATCCATCGGAAACAAATATGAGATCGCAATAAACCTTCCCAGTAAACTCCTCCTAAACTTCATTGAATTTTGAAATTGTGTACACTGCCTGAAATTGCTTATCCATTTCCTATCAAGTTGCAAGTGGTACCATTTGCGAGTACGACTTAAAATCTGTCTGGAACTCCTTCTCCACTTTATTTCGTAGTGCTCTTTCATACTATTCAACAAATTGCTTCAGGGATGTCTTCGCGTGCACAAACTCGCCAAAGAATGCATTGATACCCTCACTTCTCTAGATTGTTGACATCCCCGCTCAAAATATGGTCTTGAGATAGCGAGAAACCCAACGGCATCTGTTTTATCAACAAACCCAATAACCAATCGTTATCATGCAATTCAAACTTCTCAATCATCGTTTTCCAGCCATCATCAAATTGTTCAACAAATTGAGAATCATAAATCAATCCATGTATAGTATGAAATATAGAACCCTTGTGAATATGATATCTAAACTTTTCTGGCAACTTCTTCAATATATGTCACAAACACCATTTATGCTTCGTATTCAGAAAAACGATCTCAATTGCACTTTGCATGGCCCTGTCCTAATCAATAATTATCCCATGCAGCACCTAACCATGCATGTACTGCAGCCATGTCCTAAACAGCCATACAAATGTACCAGTATCCTCATTTGACAACAAACCACACTCAAGTAGTGTCGACTGTCCGTGATGGTTCACTCCAAAAAAAAACAAAAGACATATCATATTTATTAGTCAAGTAGGTGGTATCGAATGTCACAACATCGTTGAACTCCTTATATTCTTGCCTACTCCTATTGTCTGCCTAGAACACATTTTTTAGTCTCGAATTATCGTCCAAATCAATACTAAAGTAAAACCCTGAACAACTTGCTTGCATTTCTGAAAAATACGATTGTATTGCTACGACGTCGCCTTTTCCAAGCCTTAATCGCCAAACTTGTTCTACATAGTTTCGACAATCCTTTTCCACGAAAGTCACATTCTTGTATCCACCTGCTTCTACCACTGCAAAATTATAGCTTTTGTGCAATAAAATTCTTGCAATATCATTTACTTCAAGGCGCCGTTTAACTTGTGCACTCAATTCTTGATTGCAATGATATAATCTCGACTTTGTAGGGCTTGTTCTATGATTATGCTAGAGGTTTACTGTGTTAATTCTCCAAATTCCATGACTGTTTGCAGATGCAGTTAACCTAGCTGGATAGTTGCTTGTGGCTTCGATGAACCAATTGTAGTACTGCTTCTTTTCCCTTCGCGACTACACGTCAAGTAATATATCGCACAACCCCGTCATCATCCTTCTTCGAATTTCTTGTTCTCACTGGAAAACCTACCTTGTACGCATATCTTCCGTAAAAATTGAACATTTTCTTTTCTTCTTTGAACTTCATACCCACTTTAGGAACAAGCACCATCCCTGCCAATGATTTCATCACCACCCAATAAGTTCGGATCCTCCATAACATTCTCATTATCGGATTCCACCAAATTAATGTCATCCATAGCTTGCGAACTTTCATTCACTACGACATGATAAGAAATACACATCAAAATCAGAAAACCAAATTTCGACTTTGAACCAACATTTACAATACACTCACAACATTGAGAAATGGTCACTGAACATAAATGGTCATTGTACTTAAGTAGTGGTATGCATATACCAGAGAGAACATCGTTTGCCTAACATTTCAGCTAAAATAAACTCATAAAATTGAGATTGTTTGATCACTGAACTTAAATACTGGTCTGCACGTACCATAGAGATGGGAGTTTTGCCTAACATTTCAGCTAAATTGATCAACACATTGCATTTTAATCATCATCATAAACTGCAAAACCGTCCAGATAATGAGCTAAACGAACTTACCATTTTCTATCCAGATAATGAGCAACGTCCAAAGCTGTCGAGAACGAAAGGGACGGTGAAAGTCAGGTGTCTGAGAGTATACGATGGTGAAGCGGTGGAAAATCGAGGGAATTACGCTGTCAAGAAGCGATGGACTGGTTTGGGAAAAAATCGATTGATTTTCATGAAACAATTTGTCGGCGCCCACAATGAAACAATTTTGTCCTCTTTTCCCTCTCAGTATACAATGGTCGAGCGATGGAAAATCTGGAGAATATGGGTCGGCCGAGCGCTGTCAAGAAGTCATGGACATATTTGGGGAAAAATCAACTGAAAATGGCGCCTAAAATAAATGAATTTTGCCTCCCTCTCTCGTTTCACCCTCTTTTTTAAAAACCAAAAAAGTCACATAAGAAAAGCCACTTCATCCTGTCAACATGAGTGTCAAGCTACAATGTACAAATATCAATTTTCAAATAATTATCCTCACTCTGTCCAAAGCTTCTGCAAGAGAACTTTGTAGCATAAAATAGAGAAAGAACATCATACATTAACAAAAAGATATCTGATAAATATTTTGCATGCTTGTGCGGGACATTTCATTTTCCAATTCAAAACTCTAAATTCTTACAGTATTATATACATCTATTAATTACAATGGAGTGTATATTTACCCTCCTCGTTGACGGCATTTACTATTTTGCCACTTACCGCCACCTTCAAATTCAAGCAGAACATGACTTGACCTCTATTTTGTGGCTAGGGTTGTATCTATATCATGTGTTGTACAATCTTGTGAAAATATTATTATTCATTTCTGGGTCTTCAAAAAATCTCACTTACATTTCAAAAATCGTGATTTTTCTTAACTTCGAAGCATTAATGTACAAAAACGCATATGGCTTCTTCTTCAATCCATATGTTTCCTATGTTTTTTTCTTCAATATTTTTCAAATTTGTCGTTTTTCACTTTGTTTCTTTCAAACTTCCATAGTACTAAAATATATATGAACTGCCCCCACGGGGTGACGGAGTTGGTGGAATAGGTGATCGCAAAGGTCTTTGATCACGAGTTCAATTCCCTCTACCACCCCTACCAACACCATCTCGATCGAGCATATCACACCGGACTTGCCTAGTGTTGTTTTGTTTACTTGGCTGACGTGATTCGCTGGCTATTGCATCAACCCGAAGGTTTACTAGTACGCACCCGAGTGATAGCGACTACGACAAGCTCCCCATCATCAAGGTAAAATATATATGAACTTGTATTACCATGTATAAACTATGATTTTAGAATTTCAAGATTATTTATTTATTTATTTAGATGAATTGAAGTGCAGGGTTTGTTTATAATTATATGCTTTGCAGGTGAAAATCACCACCAGTGAATTTTTCAATTTATGCAGAAATATTCTCTGAGAAAAGGTACTACATTTGCTTTAGTTTGTGAAATATCTATCTTCCCTTTTTGTGATTTACGAGTGTTCTTGAGGAAAAAATCCAAAAAGTCTTTAATTTTTGGCTAAGGAAACACCATTTT